AATATTAAGAGAAATAAATAATTGTGTGAATTTAAATAATGCAGTATTCCTCTATGAGCTTTCAGAATATATCAGAAAGATTGCATTTTTGAATGTGCTATTAATTTATTCTTTAATAGAAGTTAATTAATTTGAGCACGAATTAATTTCTAGCATTTGACAATTAATAATTCTTGAGAAGTTAATTTGGGTATTATTATTTAAAAAATTTTAGCTTTTCGTAAAAAAAAGATTGTTTTAAATTTTGGTTTTGTAAGCACCTAACTAGTTTAAGTAGACACACGGTATCAATTAGTTGATGTATCACTTAGTACTGTTTCTGTTATGGGAAATTAGCCTGTCGGTTTCTTTTTCCAAATAAACATCCTAATAGGATTAAACATAATTTGTTTAATTGCGTATCTAATGTGTAATAAAGGATGTGGGTAATTTTTTAACAGCGCATACTAAAAGCCTTCGTAAAAGCCAATTATATTTAGGGTCAAATTGAAATCAGTGCAACACTCTTCCTTAACAATGATGTTCATTTTTAAAAAATTTATTGTAATCGTTATTCTGTTGGCATTTGCTTGTATTAACGGAAGCTGTGAATCCGAAAATATAACGTTTCACAAGTCGTTTAACTCTTCTTCAGATGATAAAGGACAATACGAAGAGGTTTTGAATCTAGAAAAACGAGTGAGATCACTGGAACAACCAGGTAAAATAAGATAATATTACTAAATGTTAACATAAAACTGATTTTGTGTTTGAAAAATATTTTTTTGAAGTGAAACTTCTTTACGCACGGTGGGGTAAGTTCGTTTCATGCGAGTTGCTATGTAACGAAATCATGCAACGCATTTCCCCCGCTGTCTGTCTCTATGTATGCTTAGATCTTTAAAACTGCGCAACGGATTTTAATGCGTTTTTTTTTAATAGATAGAGTAATTCAAGAGGAAGGTTTATATGTATAATACATGCATAATATAGTAGAGAAACACTGATAATTTTAGAGGTTTGTAATGTGATGTCGTAAATAAACAAATTTTTTTGCGCTTACATTGCAAACGCTGGCTGAACCCTACGAGATAGATCAAAATAATATACTACAGTATTGTACACCTTAAAAAGGTCTACAAAAAAGTCCGGGATGGTATATGTCTATCTCTTAGGGATAACCCACAATAACCATTTTTTATCCTTTACTTTTTACGAGAAATAATGGCTTATTTACGAAGCGATTTTAAGCAATACAGCATTAATCCTTATCCAATTAAGTACTTTTAAATACATTGTGCATTTAATATAGATCAATATGGCCCTTTACAGCATGTAATTTAAATGAATATTTTCGAATATATTACAGACTTAAAATGCAGGGACATAGCGGTTGCGGCGGTACCGACCGGTTTGTATTGTCTAATGACAAAAAAGCTGTGATTGTTGTATATAAAGACATTCTATAGTATATTTACTATCAGCATTGCACCCGTGCGAAGCATAGTGTACAAATAATACCATTAACCGATTCCTTAACCCCTACCCCGGTATGTTTGTGTGTTTGAAGAAGTTTCATTTCAGTAGCTGTTCATCATGTTGTATAATTGCACGTTGTATTTTTTTTTTTATTTTATGGGGTAGTTTGGCAAATTTCGGATGATAGAAACCGATGGGTTCAATGTTTGGAAGGCCCATGCAAATGTAGACCGGAAATGAAAAGTCTCAGTTGCTGGCAGCTGGAACTTCCTGACTTACCATTTGGTCAAATTGTACCGCATGACGTACAAATGATGTGAGCTCAATACATTTAACTTTTTGCACACAATTGCATTTTAAATTTTCATTTATTTACGAGTATATTGATGTAATGTAAGCAATTTTACTTTCGCAATTAAGATATACGGGTGATATGCCTTTAAACACTTTAGATTTATTTTTGATGAGTTTTGCTATACCTGTAATACTAATTTCCAAATATATAATGAAAAAGTCTTGGTAAAAATATCTCATTAACTGCTAAAATAGCTGCATGAATAACCACAGGCTAAATAAAAAGTTTAAGAAGTATTTTTGTGACATAAATTTTTAGTGATCTTGCCATGAACCAATTGACCACTCTCAACAAAGAGGCTTTTAAGGCATTGCCTCGTTTGATTGAAATAGATTTGTTCGATAATCAAATTGACTATTTACCCGCTGGAACTTTTAACCAGTTATATAACCTTCAGTATCTGTAAGTTTCCATTTCCATTAAACATACATTGAAACGAATCAAGCCTAATTAGGGTTGGTATTGATTTGATATCAATAAAAACTTTATTCGGTTTCATCCCTTCCAATATTTCATTTAAATTTCCACAACATTTTATAATTGCATTATACGTAATAAGTGATTTCCAGGAGAATGCATAAAAATAATATGAAACGTTTGCCCAATCAAATATTTTCGGCGTTGCAAAAACTGAAAAATATTGATTTGTCCAATAATAATATCGAAGTTCTATCTGAAAAACTTTTTAAATCGTGCCTAAATTTGGTTGTACTTCATCTGTCGGGAAACAATTTGGAGTCAGTACCTGAAAATATCTTTAACAATTTACTCAAACTCGAAGATTTAGACCTAAACGAAAATAAACTGCAAAATATTTCTGTATCAACTTTTAAGAATTTGAGAAATCTCAAGCGGTTGAAACTGGGCCAGAATTACCTCTCTGAACTACCGACAGGTATAGTACTCGTTATGAAACGTTTAGATATAAATAACCTTATGTTCATGACATGCTTTCCAGGTGTATTTAAGGGTTTGCAACAATTAATTTATCTAAACTTAAGAAAAAATAGTATTACATATGTTAATTCAATGCTATTTTTACATTTGAGCAACCTGAGGGTTTTGGATTTATCAGGAAATGATATACAACAGGTTTGTAAAATATTTAATAACTAAAATTATGCCGTGTTTTAAATCTTAATACTAATTCGTTCAAAAATTTTCTTACAAACTAATTTACTCCATAGTTACTTTGGAAGTTTTCCAAAGTAAGTGAATTTTTAGAACTTAATGTGGGTAATTATTTTAAATTTACACTTCAAATGCCCATTGGTAAGTACGATGCTCGTATAATCTTTTAGATTGATTTAAATGCGTTTGTAACGTTGGTCAATATCAAGGAACTTCATTTGGAGCAAAATTACATTTCGGAAATACCCGAAGGTTTATTTAGAAAGAACGAAAATTTGGATAAACTTTTTCTATTTTCGAACAATCTCGAAACTTTGATGAGACGAAGCTTTTTGGGACTGAAGAAAGTGTCTCTGTTGCTACTTAATAATAATTTATTAAAGGATTTTCATTCAGAAACGTTTCGATTTGTTCCAAATCTTCAAAAACTGTAAGTAACCAAATGTATTAATTTTAATTGATAATGTGCGCTTACTTTGAAAGAAACTGCTTAATATAATTATTGCAGACATTTAGATGGTAACAAATTGCAATATTTACCCTCTAGAAGCCTCGATGGTCTAATACATTTGATATCAATTCGTCTAGCAAAGAATCCGTGGCATTGTGATTGTACTATATTGTATTTAGCAGAGTAAGTATTTTTCATCCCCGCACTTCTGTAGCGAACCATAAACACTTACACTTATTATAGTTTTGGTCTGTGTGTTTATCCATTCCTTCGACTATCTGTCTATGTTAAAACCTTTGCATAGTTGAGACATTCAAAATTGACATAGTTTGCAATAAAACTATCTCATTTAATTTCTTCTTTCAACTTACTAACTAGACTAGAGCGGTTGCTAACAGAATGCCTACTTTTACTCACAACAGAAGTTATAGGGGATGTCCTAAACATCGAAAAGAGATGCTAGGTAGGACTTGCAGCGTGCACTAAAAAAGAAAAAAGAATAACATTACACCAATTGATATATAACAGAAAGAGATGCAGACAAGCAGAATTTGAGCATGTTTAGGACTTTAAAGAAAGTTCAACATTCTCAGGAAATTAGGAAGTCAAAGACGCTTGTTTAAAGATATAATTCCAACCAGACAGTTTAAAGGCGACCCTGATCTTTTGCGTACCTAAGCAACCTCTAACCGCTGCACCCCTTACTATTATTCAGTGATCTATTTCCACTTTGCCTATATTACCCACGAAGCATTTTCTAACTTAAGACGTGCGTGTTCAAAACGCAGTAAATGACTGCAGTCCTAACGATGTACTAGTCCTACTACTCGGGCTATTCGTCCGCCCTACACTCTAATGCAAAGCTGGACTGTAAGGTGGAAAGCCCTCTTCAGTCTCCATTTAGTAATCGTTAGAATAGATGAGACGGAAGAAATGAACACAGAAGAGGAGTGAAATGTCATCTGTGAATTTGTGATTTCATTTAGGGGGTTTTAAGATAGATTTTTTGAAAATGGTGTGATTTTTCTAGAAAACCTGTGATGTTTAATATAGATGTAGAACCGTGTAACATTATTTACACAATACTTTCAATGTTTCAAAATTTACATATAAATCATATGACCGGAATCGGCTTGTCGACTTTGTACGTGTCTCAAATTAAGGAATGATTTTTAATATTTTACACATTTGAGTCGGTTAAATGTATTCCCTATCGGTATAAATATCTACTTCTCTAATTTTCTTTTCCTTGTTGTATTTTGCATGGCGATTGTATTTTACTATTAATTTAGATCATTTACTTCATGTTGTTTTACGCATGTGGATTTAATAAAATCGTCAAGAGAACGATTAATATTTATGTCTTCCCTAGGTGGGTTTCTGATAATAAACAAAAACTGTGGGATTCACAACCACTTTGTAGAAGTCCAAATAAATTTGGTGGAATTGCGTTGATGGAAATGGATTTCAATGTGCTGTGTGATGGCCATTGGGCTAGTCGATTTCACCTTTCAGCAAGGCTCCCCATACGGCCTGTAGTATTTCCACCACCGAAGACAAACTTAACAACGTTTAAAGAAATAATGACATTGTAATTTTATAAAGGTTTATATCTCTTATCTTCATGTGAAACAACGAATGTTTACTTTCTTCTTTGAATTGACCACTAGCGGAAACAAATACGTANATGCTTACTTACAATTAGATTGCTATAATTATTAAATACTTAAATTTGATACTGCTTTATGACATTTGTTCAGTTTATCCTTAAAAATAATTTGTTTATAAGTAAAACTACTTTTAAAAACTAAAAGTTTACGGTGACTTTTAATATCAAAATGTTGCTGATAATGAACTATCTTATTTCTTTCAAATTATTACGTAATGAAAACATCATTAGATGTCCCCAAAGTTAATGTGATTAGGGAATTGTTTTCAGGATCCTACAGGCAGCTGATAATGATTCTTGTAATCTGTGTAGCTTTAGAACTGTATAAATCAAATTTTGTACGTAAATATTGCATATAGGGCATACTTTTATATGCACTTACTAACAAAAATATTTTTTTACGTTTTGTAATGTTCTTGGCTTTTTGTAAAATAGGGATGAAAAAGTTTATTGCGTACTTATCGCAAAAAGTAGGGCTTTTGTTTTCAAAATGTTAACCGATGTACTTATTTAACTATTTAAAAAAATACTTTTTAATACCTCTTTGCATGCGTTTAGCTGTTGAGCATCAGCAAAGCGTGGTACATAGGAGAAGTGTCTGGCTAATGCACGAAAATCTTCGTCTTCTTCATATTTTGTACATTTGGGAATTTCAACGCAGTAAGCTCCGGGACCAGGGACGTTACTATCATACTTTTCCCCTCGTTTCGCTGACCTACACGACCAGCGGCACCCTTTGTATCTTCTAGTTGTACACGATATTTCTCCCTATGGAAATAATTATCATTATGACTCAAACGTTTCTAAATTTTTATCTTCTACTGCCTCCCACCATCCACGTTTGCAACCGTAGGGACACATTTACAATTACAAAAAGAAACTATAGGGTTGTTCGGAAAGTCATTTCGTTTTTTCCCGACAGAGGATTTAATTGTATTCTTTTGCACCCAACTTCACATTTAAGCCGTATAATTTTTATATGCTTTGAGAGCTCATATAGCAAGGCTTGTGTGTGAAAAATTCCAATTAATTCTACGCAGTAGTTTTTGGTTGGTGCCCT